TTGCCACTCACACCACTGGTCCTGTAGGGCTCATCCGTCCTGGATTCCCTGTATTTTCAGTTCCTATCTGTACCAGTGTACCTCCTCTGGTCTAGTTTTACTTCTTCTTCGACAGTTTGGACGACATTTATTTCCTCCTTGTCGATTAGCCAAAACCAAACTCATTCATGGAGTCAATGTCAACTCATCATGGCCCTGGAAGACACGGTAGAACTGTCCCTGTGAGTTTCCAAGTTTGTAACTCTTCACAGACGTAGAAAGCCTCATCTTTCTCCCAAGGAGCTGCTGATGGATTCAAACTGCTAACCTTGCAGTTAGCAACCCAGCTCATAAGCCACCAGGGCTCCTTTTTGTCTAATAACTCTGGCTGAAAGTTCCAGTACAACCTTTTTTAAAGAAAAAGATGGTGAGGGAGGGGATAAAAGGGAGCTGACATCAAAGAGTTCAAGAAGAACTAAAATGTTTTGAAACTGATGGTGGCAGCAATTGAACAATTATGCTTGATCTAATTGAATTATGGATTATTATAATATCTGTAAGAGCTCCCAATAAAATGATTAAAAAAAAGAAAGAAAGAAAAAGAAAAACTCATACCATTGAGTCAATGCCAACTTATACCCTGTCGGACAGGGTAGAACTTCCCCTCTGAGTTTCCGAGACTGTAGCTCTTTATGGGAGTAGGGAGTGGTAACAAAGCACCTCTTTCTCTTGTTCCCCTTCCCAAGGGGGATGCTTTCAGTTTCTCGCCATTAAGGGTGTTGGTTTTATATCTATGCCTTTTATTATGGTGAGAAATTTCCATTCCTATTTTTTATTGAGTGTTTGTTTCAGGAGTATGTGTTCGATTTTTGTCACATGCCTTCTCTGTGTGGATTGATATGATCGTGTGGTTCTTTTCCTTGATTTCTATGATGGATTATGTTGATGGTTTTTCTCCCCGCCGCCCCATGTTGATGGTTTTTCTAATGTCAAACTATTCATCCATACCTGGTATGAATCCCAATTAGTCATGATTTTTATTTGTTTATTTTTAGGGATGGTTCGGCTTTGTTTTAGTGTCAGTGTGCTTTTATATATTTTGTAATAGTTTCAGGTATGATTTGTGTCTTTATGACTAAAATATTTCTCTTGCAGACAGCATATTGATGGGTTATATTTTTTATCAATTCCTTGCTGGTGCAGATAAACCATTTACATTTGGCATGTTTATCCATATGTATAATTTTACTGCTGTCATTTAATTGTGCTTTTAATTTTTTGCCAGTGTTGATGGTCTCTTAGTTTTCAGGGTAGGCAGGGATCTCTAGAGAAACAGAACCAGACACTTAGATACCTTATCCATCCATCCATACATACATACATACATACATACAGAACCAGACACATATATATCTTATCCATCCATCCATAAATACATACATACAGAACCAGACATTTATATATCTTATTCATACATACATACATACATACATACATACATACATACATACAGAACCAGACACTTATATACCTTATCCATACATACATTCAGATAGATATAGATAGATAGATAGATAGATAGATATAGGTTTATACAACGAGAAGGAATATAACTGCTAATTAGTCCACACAGCAGTTCCACACTTTCATGGAACAGTTAATAGACCGAAAGTCCTTCAATTCATGTGGGCTGCCATGCCAAAGTCAAGGTAGCAGACAGCAGAGTCCTCCCTCAGGCAAGGCAGGCAGAGTCTGCCCGAAGGCAGCAAACAGTAGGGTGGGTCAGCAACAGCCAGTAGCTTGGGATCTTAAGAAAGCAAGCCCGGATGGAACACTGAACTCAGGCAATGCAAGGTGACAGGATCCACCAGCCTCAAGCTCAAATGATGTTATGCAGCATTGTAGTGAAGCAGATCTCGAAGGAGCCTCAAGCTCTAGCTATATGATCCATGGGTTGGCTTCTCTCACAGGTAGTGTAGCTCACAGGTTCAGGCAGAGAACTAGCTAAAGCAGCAGCACACTGGTCTGATCACCAGAGAGAAAGAGATGGAGGGGCGGGCCTTGTAGAGCCATTTGTCTCTTTGCCCTCCAATCAAACTGCGACCTGATTAATCCCACATGTTCCTATTGGCCAGGTTGGCACAATAAACCTACCTATCACTGTTCTATTTAATTTTCAGTGCTGATTTATTTTTGTTTCCTTTCTTTCACTGTTGTTGAGTTATTCTTTAGTGAGTCTATCTATCTTTCTTATCTTTTTAAGATTTTGATGGGGTTTGCTAACCTTTTTTGGGGGGAGTGGGGGAGTATGTGGCTGCTTAATTTCTTTGTATCTCAAAGAGGATTGACTCAAGACACATCCTACACAAACCCTACCTCGGTCACATCACAAAGACAGCGTGTGAAAAGGCAAACTCCAACCTCACTGCTACTGAGTCAGGACGGTTTCATAAGGACCCTATAGGACAGGGTACAACTGTCCCTGTGGATTTCTGAGACTAACTCTTTATAGGAGTAGAGAGGCTCATCTTTCTCTCTCTGAGAAGCTGGTGTTTTTGAACTGCTGGCCTTTCGGTAAGCAGCTCAATGAGTAACCACTACACCACCAGGGATCTTTCAATCACAGGCATAGAGGCTGAGACTTTGGGAGAGTGCAATTCAATCCATAACCGTAACCGAGTGCTGAAACATGTGAGGAAAATGGAATGAAAAGATCATGAACTTCCCCCCACAAACTTACATCTATAATAGAGATGGGTTGCTTTTATTTTTTAAGAATTGGCTCACAGGACTGTAGGGATTTACCGGTCCAAATCTCCAGTTCAGGCAGCGGGTTAGAAACACCAGCGAGATGTCTAAGTTATAGTCTTGAGGCAGAAACTTCCTCTCCGAAATGTCCATCTTTGCTCGTGAGCCCTTCAACCGCTTGTAGTAAGCCCATTCATAGGGTGAGGGGCCACCCCTTTACTTAAAACCACCCGATTGTGCATGCTCAAACCACGTGCACCGCCACCCAGTCAATGCCAATGCATCGCGAACCTCTAGACAAGGTAGAACTGCCCCTGTGCGTTTTGAGTCGGCAACTCTTTATGGGAGTAGAAAGCCTCATCTTTCTCCTGAGGGGTGCCTGGTGGTTTCAAACGGCTGACCTTTTGGTTAGCAACCCAACGCGTAACCACTACGCCACCGGGTCTCCTGATTGTCCATGTTACCATCTACCTTCACAGCAACATCTGGACTTGTATTTGACCAGACAATCAGGCCCGCAGCCCAACCAAGTGGACACATGAAATGAAATGCCACGCATCCGGACCACAAGCTTGGGAAAGGGTGGAGAAAGGAGACCAGGGGCTTGGATCTGGGCTATAATCACTCTCAATGCCTCCTCCTCCCAGGGGTAATTATCGGCGCCATTGTGGGAGTTCTGTTGCTTCTCATCCTGGTGGGCCTGCTGGTTTTCTTCCTGAGGAAGAGGTGAGACTGGGGGCAGGGTTGAGACTGGCCTGGGGTGGTGGAGGAAGAATGGGGACTCCTGGTTCTAATCCTCTTTTTCCTGAGTCTTTCACCCCAATCTATTTTCCCCAGGAATAAGAAGAGCCAGGAGAAACCGGATCTGGCCTTCGCGTGAGTAGGAGGGTTGGGAAGTGTGTGAGATTCCTGGAGCCTCGGGGGAGCCCAAAGGCTTACACATCCAGCTTCTAGTTGAGAGGTTGACAGTTCTAATCTGCCCAGAGGTGCTCTGAAAGGAAGGACGGGTGGTCCACTTTCAAGAGACCATAACTATTGGCACCCTACAGAACTCAGGTCCACTCAGACCCAAGGTTGACTCAATGGCAGTTGTTTGGGTTTTGATTTGATTCCTAGGACTGCCATCGCAAAGGAGTAGCTTAGAACAATAGGCATTTGTTGTCTGAAAGTTCTGAAGGCTAGGAGTCTGAGAACAGGGTGCCCACCGTGTTGATTTCCTCTGAGAGTTCTGAGGTTTCTTCTCTTTGATGTCCCTCTTGGAGTTTCTGGTAGCTCCATATGCTCATTGGAGTTCCTTGTTTTGCAGCTATGGTGTGAGACACCTGCTGGGTTAGGCCGGGTTGACTAGAAATACAAATCCAGGGACATTCATATGTGTAGAAGAAAGAGTTTTATATCAAAGAGCAATTGTATATTGAGAAAACATTCAAACCCAGTCCAGATCAAGTCCGTATTTGACCGTAAGCCCGATACTAGTCCATACGTCCCTCTTCAGACTCACGCAGCACATGCAATGGTGCTGAATGCAGGAAGATCACAGACCGGTGGGTGGAAAGTCTTGTGGATCCAGTGGCGGTGGAAGCATCTCAGCGCTGGTTTGGGTCTCCACGTGACTCCTCCAGCTCTCCCAGTGTGACTCTTCAACAGGAAGGTCAAGCAGAGAAAGAGAGAGAGAAAAAGAGAGAGAGAGAGAGCTCTTGCAGGTCTCAGCAAGTTTCCCGTGGCTTGTCAACAAGAAGACTAATGCAGAGAGAGAGGAAGTTCCCAGAATCCTCACGAGAAGGCCACGCCCACCAGGAGACGTCATCAGGCTGCGACCTGATTGACAGGCTAGACTCCACCCCTTCGCTCTTAATAGCCTCACCTTGACACCAGATGATGTAACGACCACCCCCACCTTCCTTCTCTATCTCTGTGTGTCTCCTTTCTTATGAGGATGGGCATCCTATAGGATGGCAGTTCCTAGGTGGGGCCTATGGTTGGGCACTTAGCCGCTAACCCAATGGGTGACAGTTGGAATCCACCCAGAGTCGTCTGAGAAGGAAGACCTGGCGTCTACTCTCTGAAAGATCGCAGCCCGTGAGAACCCAGGGGAGCCCCGTCCTGCTCTGGCACACACGAGGGAGGCGGTCCTGGGTTGGAGCCAACTCAACAGAGGCTGGTTTGGTTCTGGTTGTATCCGGTTGCTAGGGTGGCAGTAGCACAAGGCTGCACTGGAGATGTGCTCTCTCACAGTTGTGGAAGTTAGAAGTCCTTGATCCAGGAGAGCTCCATTGAACTAATCAATAGCATCTCTAGCTGTAGAAGAAAGGAAAGAACTCAAGGCCTACGGCTCCCAAGGAGACCGGAGGGCATTGGACCTAGAGTGCAGGAAGAAGCAACTGGCTTTAAAGGGAAGAAGAGACGCTGTCTCTTTGTAAACCAAACAGAAAGGGAAAAGTAGTAATTCACTGTCGATCTGACTCACAGTGAGTAGAGCTGCTCCTTGTGGGTTTCGGGGGTCATAAGGAGCCTCATCTTTCTCCCTTGGTTTCCAACTGCTGACCTGTGGTTCCGGCCACTAGAGCGGGAGGTTGAATAGCTTCTTTCTACACCACTCTTTGCCCCACAGTTTCCCAGGAGAGATTCGGGCTGAAGACTTTGCCGACCATGTCCGGGAAAATGAGAAGGACAGCCATTATGGTTTTGCAGAGGAATACCAGGTGGGGAAGAGAGTGGAGGGGGCCGATCCGAGCCTCAGGACCCCCAAGCCCCACCCCTAGACCCATGGAGACTGAACACACGCAGTGCATATTCTGTGGGGTTATGGCGAAACCCTCAGAATTGCGTTATCTATCTTTCCAATGCAATTGACATCTTTGAATCAGGATTTGGGTTTGGGCTAATCCTAAAGAAACTCCCCTCACCTCTGGATAGCCCCCATTGCCCCTGATCTCAGCTTCTTCACCCATCTCCCCAGTTCTCCCCCACGATGGTTCCCCTACCACCCGTGCCTCAAATCCTTTCAAATGCCTTGCAGACGGGTGGGCGCGTATACACTCCATTTTTTCTGGATACTGCAGAAACCTAGAGTACAAGGGGTAGATGGAGGGGGCAAGGTCAACTTTAGGGGTATTCTGGATGGAAAATAAAGGCACTCCAACCTCATCGCCCCTCTCTTCTGCCTCCACTTCCAGCAACTGACCCTGGAGGGGTTCAACCAGCCCAACAAGGTGGCCTCAGCCCCAGAGAACAACGTCAAGAATCGTTACAGAAACGTGCTGCCCTGTGAGTCGTAGGGTCCCCGGGGTGGGGTGGGAGGATACTGCAAATGACTTGTGCCTGAGTGCGAACGGAAGGCTGGCAGTTGAGCCCACCCAGTGGCACCATGGAAGGAAGGGGGAAGAAAGGTCTGGCGATTTGCTTCTGTCAGGGTTATAACTAAGAAAGCTGTCTGGACCAGCTCCGCTCTGTAACACGTGGGCTCACTGTGGGTCAGAATCAAGGGCAAGGAGCTTTTATTTTTTTGTCTTCCGTTTCCACTGACCTGTCCCGAGCCCTCACCTTTCCATGCTTTATCCCTGGTTCCCATTCCCAGCCTTTCCCGTGCCCTCGGAGGAGACAAAGATCTCCCTCAGGTGGGTTCCAGTGAGAAGCCCTTGGCCCATGCACCCTCACCGAGGAGGTCCCCGCATGCTCTCTGTCTGTTTTCACCTCCTCACAACTTCTACCCCTTGGCCTGGGCCTCTCGGGGTCTCTCTGCTCCATCTCTGCATCACTAATACTGCCTTCTCCCCCTAGATGACTGGTCCCGTGTGCCCCTGAAGCTCCTCCATGGGGAACCAGGCTCTGACTATATCAACGCTAGCTTCATGCCCGTAAGGACTTGGCTGGGAGCTGGGACCAGGAGGTCACTGTCTTAGTCTGAGTTGTATAGGAAAGCACAACCAGTAACAAACAGACAGATAGACAGACAGGACGGACAGACAGATAGATAGATAGATGACGGATGGCTACATAGATGATTGATACAAGGCTACATAGATAGATAGATACATGGATAGATAGATGCATATACAGATATAATAAATGGATGACAGATAAGATCAATGTATGGATAGGGAGAGAAATGCTAGATAGACAAGGAGAGAGAAATTTAGTTCAAGGCACTGAAAAAGGTCAAGTGTCAGGTTAGCCATCTCTGCGGGTGGATGCACGCATAGTCCAGATGATAGGAAGAGTTCAGGGGAGGGAGGGACGTGTGGAGGGGGAGGGATGAAGATCCACTGGGAACACACCGCCTCTGGCAGGGGTACACCTCCAAGGAACTGCACTTCCAAATGGCTCCTAGATCCCCTCAGGTCATGTCAGTCCAGGACACGATCTACACTAGGACTGCAGTCAGCCAGGCTCAGCCACACCCCTGAGAATCACGACTTAGCCACGCTGTTGTGGCTACATGCTCTCAGTAGGTTCCGACTCCCAGCGACCCTTGCGTACAATAGAAAGACAACCTGCCCTGCCGGCGGCACCGCGCTCACAATTGTTCTGTTGAAGCCCATCATGGCAGCCAGGGTGTTGATCTGTCTCCCTGAGGCTCTTCCTCATTTCCACTGCCCTTCTACTTTGCCAAGCATGACGTCCTTCCCCAGGGATAGTTGTTCAGCTTGGACAACCCACAGTCATAGCCAAGTTGACATAAAAAGCTACCATCTTGAGTGCTCAGCAGAGCCTTCAAAGCTCAGAGCTGCAGAGGTCCGTCCCTGACCCACCCACTTCCTTCCTGCAGGGTCTCTGGAGCTCCCAGGAGTTCATTGCAGCCCAGGGTCCCCTGCCCCAGACAGTGGCTGACTTCTGGCGTCTGGTGTGGGAGCAGCAGAGCCACACGCTGGTCATGCTGACCAACTGCATTGAGTCTGGCCGGGTGAGAGTGGACCCATTTCTTAGCGTATCTATTGTTGTGTAACATCTAGTTGGGGGCTCCTGTTTTCCCCTTTGCTTTACCATCATGAGGTCTTTGTCCAGGCACTGGTCCCTCCTGATGACATGTCCCAGGACGTGGACGAGGCCTCACCATCCTTGTTTCCCAGGAGCCTTCGCGCTACACTTCCCCCACCCTCCCCCCTTCGTGAACCCTTGATGAATTGTAAATGATCATTCTTTTCATAGCTTACACTGACCGCTGTCTCCCTTCCCCCACGTTTCTGTTGTTCATCCCCCTCTGGAGGAAGGGGTGTCATGTGTCAATCATTGCGATCGGTTCCCCCTTCCTCCGCTCCTCCCCCCCACCTTTGTGTGTTCCTTTGACAACCTGTGGTACTTTCGATATTCTCCACCAGCATCATAGCTGAAATGCATGAGCATCATAGAGAGTAGGGTTGACAACGCGTAGGATAATTACATAGGATCACAAAACGGAGGATCATTTCATAATACTGAGAACCATGGCCTTGCCAGACTGGTACATATTTGGGGGGGCCCCAATTCAGTGCATGCTAGACTCCAACATATATTTGTGGCTGGGGGTGGTGGATACAATTTGATCCATAGCAGGAAGGAAGAATCCTCTTGGCCATGATGGACCTACACCTGGCGGCTCACGGGCACCACACTCGTGTGAGACTTTTCTGCACAAGGGTTAGATGATCGGGGCATGTGAACTTAACCTTGCTTGACCACCAGCATTTTCTCACCTGTGAAGTGGGATGGATAACCGCACACACAGTAGGTGCGTGCAGGAAGGCTCTCTGGACCTCCTGGTGTTTGACTCCCCCTTCCCATACTTCCCCAGGTGAAATGTGAGCATTATTGGCCCCTGGATTCGCAGACCTGCACCCACGGGCAACTGCAGGTGACCCTGGTGGGTGAGGAGGTGTCAGAGAACTGGACGACGAGGGACCTGAAGCTCTTCCACGTAAACTCCTTCTTGACTCCCAATCCCAAAACATGCCAGGCATCTCCCCTGTAATAGTTAGGTTTAACCTGCCAACCTGGCCAATAGGAACATGTGGGATGAATCAGGTCGCAGTTTGATTGGAGGGCAGAGATAAATGGCTCTCCAAGGCCCGCCCCCCTCTCACTTGCTCTCTGGTGATGGGAGCATGCTGGCGTGTTCATGCTGCTGCTTTAGCTAGTTCTCTGCCTCAACCTGTGAGCTACAGGACCTGTGGGCCAGGCCAACCCGTGGTTCAGTCTCTGGAGCTTGAGGCTCCTTCGAGACCTGCTTCACCACAATGCTGGTGCGTACATCGTGTGAGCTTGAGGCTGGTGGATCCTGTTGCCTTGCATGGCTTGAGTTCAATATCCCATCTGGGGCTGCTTTGCTAAGCTCCCAAGCTCCTGACTGTGGCTGACCCACCCTGCTGCAAATCATGAGCGCCCTGGTTTTGTTTCTCTAGAGAACCCTGCCTAACACATTCCTAACCCAGAACTCTCCATGTGAGGTCTTTCTGCTCACTGGCCCAAGGGATTCCCATGCAAGCAAGAGTTTCCACATCAGTCATAGAAGGCCGCCGCCATCCAGACCCACCTGCAAGGCTCCTGAGCCCACAAATCCCCTCTCTCACTCACCGTCCTTCTAGCTGGAGGAGCAGAAGAGCCTAGCTGTGCGGCAATTCCACTATGTGGCCTGGCCCGATCACGGCGTCCCTCACTCCCCAGACCCTTTGCTGGCCTTCTGGAAGGTCCTTCGGAAGTGGTTGGACCAGCAGATGCAGGGAGGTCTACCCATTGTGCACTGCAGGTAAGGCCTCTCCCCTGTGGACAGACACACACACACACACACACAAGCCCAGTTCTCTGAGGCAGACCATGGTGTTCCCTGGGTCCTCAGAAAGTTTGGAGGAAGAGGAAAGAGATGGTGGAGAAGCAGGCAGGAGATGGGGGCCAGTGAAGCAGGTTAAGAAAGCAGAACTGGGGTCACGTGAGTGCGGGGCAGGAAGCATTAAAGAATTAGAGGAGTGTTGTGTGTTTCATCGGTGCTATCCTGCACCCTGGCTGACTCATCTCTTCCTTGTGACCCTTCTGTGAGAGGATGTCCAATTGTCTACAGATGGGCATTGGGTCTCCACTCCAACCCTCGTCATCTGCATCGAAGTGGTTGCTTGTTTTGGGTCTTCTGATGCCTGATACTTGATCCCATCAACACCTCTTGATCACATGAGTTGGTGTGCTTCTTCCATGTGGGCTTTGTTGCTTCCCCAAGGCCACTTGTTTACCTTTAAGCCTTTAAGACCCCAGATGCTATATCTTTTGATAGCCGGGCATCATCTGCTTTCTTCACCACATTTCCTTAAGCGCCCATTTGTCTTCAGCGAGCGTGTGTCAGGAAAGGGAGAGTCACAAAATGCCAGGTTATTAAAACAAATTGTTCTGGTGTTGAGGGAGGACTTGAGTAGAGGCCCAATGTCCATTTGCTACCTTAACACTTAACATATAAATATAAGTACATAGACCTATAGCCCTATCATTACATATCTATATATTTACATATATATATGCCTATATGTATAACTCTATAAATATCTTTTGCCTCGTGTTGATACAATTGATGCATGGAATGCCAAAAGCTGTAAGAGCCCCCAGTAAAATGATCTATTTTTTTTTTTAAAAAAAGAAGTGAGAAAGTTAAATGTAGACCCAGCAGTTCTACCCCTAGGCACAGACCCAAATGAATGGAAGCTGGGAATGCAGACCGACTCATCAACAACAAACTCAAACTCACTTCCATGACATCGATTCTGAGTCATGGCGACCCTACGGGACAAAGAAGACCCCTACCCAATACCCCCAACCCCTACCCCCTAGGGGGTAGATTTTGGAAACCAGATAAGGTCCAGCGTGTATCCCAGCTGAAATCGCTGACGAGCTTTAATGTTTAGGTCAGGATTCTGCCTTTGACCTTCTAGCCTCAACTCACCGATGCACTCGGTTAAGTGACCGCTCTCCTCCTGTCCCTCAATTGTGGATAGAGGGAGACCCCAGGAAGCTTACTTCCCCTGCAGCTCTACCAGTGGATCTTGGGCTCCCACTCTCATCCATGGCCTTCTGCGAACCAGGCTCTCAGACTGTAGGCTCTGATCCCAATCCCTCCCTTCGACTTTGGATTGTATGCTTCACAGTCCTTTGGTGACTGATGATGGTGCGCTGCTTCTTCCACGTGGACTTCGTTGACATCTCACTTAGATGGCTGATTGTTTGGGGACAAGCCTTTAAGACCCCAGACGCTATTGTATCTGATAGCCAGGCACCATCTACTTTCTTCAACACAGGGTGCTATAGCACCGGTCTCCTCGGTCCAGCCGCCAATTGTATGGAAGCAGGTTCGGATCTGGAAGGGCTTTCTCTCCAGGTAGCTCTGGGTGGAATCAAACCACCAACCTTCCGGTTAGTGGCCCACTTGTCCCACACAGGGACATCCACTGGGGGCTCTTGCTGTGGTTGGCTGCCCTGTGTGACTCCTGAGGGCTGTCAACTATCACTGGGGTGGGTGGGGTTGGGGGGACATGAGTGTTAAGCGTGGCATCTCCCCTGTGATGTGACACCTCCCCTCCCTATCCCACCCCCAGTGCAGGCGTGGGCCGCACCGGCACCCTCATTGCCCTGGATGTCTTGATCCGGCAGTTGGAGAGCGAGGGCACCGTGGGACCCTTCAATTTTGTGAAAAAGATGAGACACAGCCGTCCCCTAATGGTTCAAACGGAGGTAATGAGGGCGGGCCAGGGGTGGGTTGGGGAGGGAGGAGGCTGGGGAAGCCCTAGGGGAAAGCCAGGGGAGCCCACCCCTCACACCCTACACCCCCCCCTCCCCCAGGCCCAGTATGTGTTCCTTCATCAGTGCATCCTGTGCTTCCTACGGCAAGCGGGGGAGAAGGAGGTCGTGTACGAGAACGTACCGAGCCTGCTCTACGAGAACGTGGCTGCCATCCAGGCCCACAGGTCGGAAGCCTCTTCTGCATGAGGGCTTCTGATGCCAGCCCAGCCGGACTCAAGATCTCCATCCTCTCTCGAGTCCAGACTGCTGGGGCCCCTGGGAGAGCAGAGGGCTGTGCCCCAGACCTCCCTGGGTCCTGCAGGAGGAAGAGCTAGAAAACACAGTCCCGTTTCTCTTCGGGGGGAAACTGACTGGGGGACCCAAAGATCTGAGCCCTGGGGCAGGCGGGGAACAGGGAGCTGGAGTCCTGGTTCCTTGATGGGAGAGGTGGATGCACACTTGAATTTCCTGGTTCCTTGAGAAGGAAGAGGGTCTCCAGGATGGGGTCGGGGGTGGGGGGTGTTGCTGACTCCTGGATCCTGAGGTCCAAAGGAGGCGAGAATGCCCATACCTGGAGAAGACCGTCGTGCTTAGTAAGGCCGAGGGTCAGCGACAAAGAGGCCACCCCTCCTGGAGATGGGGTGGCACAGTGGCGGCCGCCGTGCACCCACAGGTGAAGAGGACAGAGGCGGCAGTGGGGAGCGTGTCCTTCTGTTGCTATGAGCCTGGCCCACAGCTGAGAGGAGGGAATTCCCAAGCAACCCTTCGGGATTTCCAAACTCTTTGCCGTGGAGTCTGGATGATGACGCCCCTCACCACCCCCTCCGCCGCGTTGCCGGTCCTCACCTCTGTGCCTGCGGTGATAACCCCACTTGGGAATGGGTCACTTGTGGTGGGTGCACGAGGCAGGATGTACCTGGAGTCGATCATGAACGATAAGAGAAATTAAACCGGTGATCAGAGCAGAGATGGGGTAAGATGGATGCCCAGCCACCTGGAGAGCCAGCACACTGAATTTGGACATCTAATCTGTGAGAAAATATGTTTCTGTTCATTAAAGCCACCCCCTTGTGGTATTTCCTGAATACCAGCACTAGAGAACAAAGGCCGACTCCTGGTGACCCTATGGGGCAGAGCAGACCCTATGGAGCTTCTGATCTTTCTGGAAACAGGCTGCCACAGCTTTCTTCTAGGGCAGTGGTTCCCAACCTTCCTAATGCCGCGACCCTTTAATACAGTTCCTCATGTGGTGGTGACCCCCAACCATACAATTATTTTCATTGCTACTTCATCACTGTCATTTTGCTACTGTGATGAATCAGGCAACCCGTGACAGGGTCCTTCGACTCCCAAAGGGGTCGCGACCCACAGGTTGAGAATCACTGTTCTAGGGAACAGCTACTGGCTTTGAATCACTGGCCTTTCCCCATGCAGCCCAGAGCTTGACCAAACTTCACCGATCGGGGAACCCTCAAACTCAAAGCACCCCCAAGTTGAACCCGACTCATCTCTGTAGGACAGGGTAGAACTGCCCCCTGTGGATTTCTGAGACGGCCACTGTTTACAGTCTTTCTCCTGAGGAGTGGCTTGTGGTCTCAAACTGCGGACCCTGCGGTTAGCAGCCTAGCCAGTGACCACACTCCACCAGGTCTCCCTCAGTCAGGGAACCAGGACCTACAATTCTGGGTGGCCTCCAGCCAAGCACAGGCAGGACCCTGCCCAGCCTTTCCATGTAAACCAAATCAGCCTTCTGTGATCTGCGAGGGCAGTGACTCCCCTCACTGGAGGGCCCCCTGTACCCCACTGCCTGTACAAAGGTTTTTCTTCTATCTCATAATTTATTAAATCACTGTTATCCTCAACGCGGGTCACCTTGGTGGATTTCTGGGTCTGGCTATAACGTTGGGATGGGAGGGTGACAAAAGGTATGGAGACAAGGCCCTAAGGAAGGATTGTGGCCCATCGAGTGGGTTCTGAGTCACGCACCCCCGTGGTCTCCGAGGGGAACTGCACTTCACAAGGTTTTCCGTGGCTGGTTCAGAGGAGCCCTGGTGGTGCAGTGGTTTCCACGTGGGGCGGCGATCCGCATGGTCGGCAGTTGGAAATCACCTGCAGCTCCGCGGGAGAACAACTCAGTTGTTTACTTTCGTAAAGTTACACTCTCGGAAACCCTACAAGGGGGTCGCCATGAGTCCGCACGACCTCGATGGCAGCCGGTTAGGAGGTTTTCATCCGCTCTGTCCTCTGCGCGGTGCCTCTGCCTGGACTTGAACTTCCAACCCTTTAATTAGCAGCCTGGTGCATTAACCCTTTGCCTTCCCAAGGACCCCTGAGGGGGGAATCTGTAATTGTTGATACGGTAGATGCCACGGCGTCAACTTCCTTCTTCTTTTTTAATCATTTTATTGGGGGCTCATACAACTCTCAGCACAATCCATACATACGTCAATTGTGTCAAGCACACTTACACATTCGTTGCCCTCATCATTCTCAAAACATTTGCTCTCCACCTAAGCATCAGGTGCTCTCCACCTAAGCCCCTGGCATCAGGTCCTCATTTTTCTTTTTCTTCTTTAAAAAAAAAAAACTTTTATTGGGGGCTCTTACACAGAGTCAACTTTCAACGCACAGTGAGCCCATGGGAGCGAGCTGACTTGCCCCCATAGTGTTTTTTAGACTGACCTTCACAGGCGATTATCAGCGGCTCTTTCTTCCCCAGAGGCTGGGTGGATTTGAACCACCCACCCTTCCGTTGTCAGTCCAGCGCTTAACTGTTGCGCCACCACATTCTTTTTTAACACCTACCATGGAAGTTTAGATTGGTCAATTGTCTTGAAGGCCAGAGACCCCAGCCTTAGGTAATGTGAATGTGGCCACGGCTCCTGGGACTGGCGGCCCTGGAGCTGGACTTCTGGGACGCGCAGAGGAAAGCTCATCGGGCAGATGTTGGACTCCTGGAGCCAGTTTATGGGAAAGTTTCACGCGCCACCTTCCACGTCTAGTGCATCCGGATACCTGGGTCTCCTCGGTTCTCAGGCCAGGTATCGTGGCGCTTGCGTATCTGCATTCCTGGGTCTCCAGAAAGGCTCCTCCTGCACCCAGTTCTGGGCCTGGGTATATAGGTGCCCTCTGGGTGGAAGAGAAGACAGAAAATACTGGGGGACTGGGACAAACAGGCGTGGCGCCAGCGCGGCTCTTGGATGAGGGAGGGGCGAGGGGCGGGGCGCTCCGCCTACCCGAGGCGAGCAGGGCCACACAAGCGCGCATCCGCGCGCGCGCGCGCTCACAGCCCACTGCTCAGCGCAGCCGAGACCAGCACCCTGGACAGCGCCTCCGGCTCGCTCGCGCGCGGGGGCGGAGTCCGGGCGGGGCCGGCGCCTCCGTGTCTCCCCAGAGGGTCTTGTGCAGTCGCCGAGCAGGTAGGAGCCGCTGGGCTGGCACCCCCTCCCTGCGCCCCGTCCTCATTCCCGTCCCGAGAGCCATCCCCCTCCCCTTGGGGGTGGGAGGAACCAAGAGAGGGCCCAGGGTGGTTGGCGCTTGGAACGGGGAGATTGGGATTCAGAGAGAAGATAGGTGTGGGAGGGGGACAAAGGGAGGTGGGAGTAGGGGGTGGACAGAGGCCCTGGGAGAGGGAAAGCCGACCGCGGGCAGAGGACCAGAGAGACGCGGACAGGGGGCAGGGGCGAGAGCTCGATGGGAGGACGGACAGACAAAGGCACCTATTGGAGTCAGAAGACACACACCAAAAACAGGTGTGCAGACAAAGACTGGGATGCGCGGTATAGGGGAACAAGCCCAGGTGCTTGTGGGGATTCCTCAGAGCCACCCAGGCAGCCCCCCTTTTCCCTCGCAAGAGTGGGGGAGGAGGGGAACCTGAGTCTCAGCTGCGGGGGACAGATGTGGAGGGAGGGGCCTGATGTGGGTGCATGTGCATGGACCACAGACTGCCCTCCCCTCCCCACTCTTCTGCGTCCCGGGATCCCAGTCAGGGTCCCGGGGGCCCAAGAGCGCCTAGAGGGAACCTACCCCGCCCGTACTTCACTTTTGTGCGTAAGCCCCGCCCGTTGTCCTGGCAACAGGCCGTTACCCCGGCAACCAGCGGTGCTCCAACCCTCCGGAGCAGAGCCAGCCGTCTCCCAGGGCAACTCCGTGCGCTTGTCTCACGCCCTCCTGCTCCTACTTCCGACGAAGTGTCAAAGACGGGAAGGAGGGTCAAAAGTCAGTATAGTTCCTGGGGGTGTCTTACAGGGAGGCGGCGTCCCTTTGGTCCTGGAACCCCAACCCTCCCAGGGCCTGCCCTCAGGTGTGGGGAAGCTGAAACTACTACACCCAGCATGCTTTGCGTGAGATGGCCGGTTTGTATCCCGCTGCCCTCCAAAGGGGCCGATGGGAATTGTAGTTCTTTGTTGTTCAGGGCTTCAAAGGATGCCTGGCTTGAGAGTGGGCGTCTAGGACCCCTTGGTGCTTGGGAAAAGAGGACTGTAGGACGCCCTCACCATGTTTCCAGAGCCTCCAACCTCGGGGCCTCCACCTACTGACGGGCCTCCCGACTCCAGCCGCATCAGCCAAGGCCCTGGTGAGCAAGCCCTGAAGTCAGAGCGCACAAAAAACCTGGCCAGGATTCCCAAAGGCGCGGGATCCGGACTTGAGATCCCGGGCTGTTGGGCTGAAAAATCCGGATGGGATTCTAGGTCGGAATGCTGGATTGGAATCTGAATGAAATAGGGAGGAAGAATTAGGTTTGCAAGACTACCCAGAATTGGATCAAGGGATGTGGAATGGTCTCGTTATAGTTGGGGCAGAGGAGGCCCTGGGAGCGGAAGAACTCCTTCTAAAAGCAACATGGAGTTGAGCAGAAATTAGACTGGGGGTGAAGGGGGAGATGGAACTAATAAAAAAGGAAGTCCAGCCGATGTCTACCTGGATTAGGGCATCAAATCGCTTGGCAGGTGCAATCGGGTTGGAAGGAAACCACAGGAATGAGATGGAATGGACGTGGCTGGAGGGAAAACAAGGTCAGGATTTCAGGGTCCGCACGGGACCCTCAATGCCCGTTGTCTCCACCCCCTCTGCAGTGCCCCCCTGGGCCCTGGCCACGATCGTGCTGGTCTCTGGCCTCTTCGCCTTCAGCTGCTGCTTCTGTCTCTACCGGAGGCGTTGTCGGAGGAGGTCTGGCAAGAAGATACAGGCTCAAGCCCAGCTCCACCTGCAAGAAGTGAAGGAGTTGGGGCGGAGTTATATAGACAAGGTGTGGTCTAGCTGTGCCCCAAATCCTGCTCCCACCTACAGCGTTGCCCATCTCAATGGTTCGCCCCGTTTGCATCCCTGTCTCCTCCCCACCTGGGGTTGTAGGGTGACATCAAGCTGTGTCTGAGGCATGGATACCTTATAGGTTGTGGGGTTAAGGGGAAGAGGGAACCCCACAAAACATCACAGGTTCGGTAGGTGCAATTGTACAGCGATGATAAGTAGAGATTATAGTAAAGTCATAGAGAGCATGAGAGTTAAAGGATGGAGTCAAGTAATGGAGTCAGACGCAATTCATGGTAGCATAGCTCACCTCAGCTAGGCTTGATGGTCCTCGTGGAGGGGGCTCAGTCGTCAGAGAAGAAGCCGCTGCTTCGTCCTCCTTAGCCACCTTCTCCAGCCACCCTCCCGAGAACCAGGGAGCCTCCTTATTTATTGCTAACCACGCATCATATCACTTTAGGGGGATCTGATTACAGCATCATACATCACCAGAAAGGGGCAATACAATTCATTCTAGAACAAGTTTGATCATTCTGGTGTCTCATACAATAAAACAGGCAATTACTATCCTGGGAGACATGCAAGCCCCCTGATAGTAGATAACAACCTACGTCATAGAGAGGGGTTGTAACATAGGCAATACAAGCAATAGGAGGGGGATGACCTAGGGGTGAATGTGCAATAGTAAGAGGAGGGAATAGGGGGGCATGTGTGCCAAGATAGTAGCCTAAGCTTAGTCATCTTAGAGTGGTCCCAGACTTGCCTATGGGCACTGCTTCGAGGGAACAATAACAGAAAGGAATGGGCCTTATTTAGGGTGAGTCAGACTAATAGTCTAGCCACTATAGATGGCTGATGTTAAGGAGGATAACCTCTGACCTACTTTCGCTGCCTAAAGAACAGTCATTCTCAAGCAGCTAAGTCTGGTATATATTTTGGGGAGACAACTTAAGAGAAATCCTTCTGTTCCCCACAATAGGTAACCGTATCAAGGCTTCAAACCGGTTTCAAACGGCTTGGTATAATAAGCAAGGGCTACAGGTGCATTGCATAACAAGCAAATCTGGTGTGGGTAGCGTTTTAACCTCAAGTAGGAAACAAACAGCCATGCACCGCTCAAAGATGGCAGCCAACTTACACGATGTTGAGTGTGGGTTACTTTCCGGAGTCCGGCCAGTAACCAACATCCCTCACCAGTCTCCTGAAACTTTCAGGAAAAAGAACTGTGGCTGGGCTTTTGGAGACGAGCATTATGGTCAGGGCTTCCCATACGCAAAAGGGAGCTGTTGGCCACCATCTTTGAGAGGTGCACAGCTGTTGGTCGTCTATTTAGGTCAAAATAAGGCTGGTCAATGCGCACGCGCAGCGATTCTTTCGGAGGACGATTGCCAGGCTGTGTTGAACCGGTTCGAAGCTCTGAACGGAACAGAACCAAAACGTCGCTCAGTCCACGCTTCATGAAGGTTGAGCCTCACGCTGTAGTTCGTCATTGTGTCGGTCTACACCTGACTGAACTCTGGGGACCTGGAGATGCAGCAGGCCTTCGTCCCTAAGAGGCTTTCACCCTGAGGGCCACTCAGGCATAGAGACGCAGGCATTCAGAATGCAGGGTGACCCATGCCGTGTTGGGGCACAGTGACACCTTTTCCAGGCGGATCCCAGCCCCGCCAACCTCTCCAAAGGACAGGGGGCATGGTGGCAACGCAGAGACTGAACAAACAGGTAGGGGGAGGCAGCATGGCACGCTTACTGAGCAGTAAGGTCAGGATACACTGGGGACAGGCCACCCACCCTCCACCAGTGGGTCTACTCTACCGAAAGGGCAAAAATCATGAGACTCAGCAGCTGGCAGCTCCCCCCTTCCGGTTTTTGGTATTTACTTTAAATGTTAGTTTAAATTTTTTTAAATCATTTTATTTGGGGCTCATACAATTCTTATCACCATCCATCCATCCATTGTGTCAAGCACATTTGTACATTTGTTGCCATCATCATTCTCAAAACATTCTCTTTCTACTCGAGCCCTTGGTATCAGCTCCTCATTTTCCCCCCTCCCTCCCTTAGTTTTACATTTTTATTGTTCAATAGTTTTATCAGCACTTCATCCACGTGTCACACAATCCAATATCCAATCACATCAAGAAGAGCTGTGCCATCGTCGCCATCCTCCATTCTTAGAACGTACTCTTCTCTCTCATACTTGCGGTTATTCCTGTAACTGCTTGCTTGTTTGTTTTCTGGTTGTGGCAGAAACACACGGAACAAAACATTCTCCAATCCCACACCTTGTACGTGTATACTTCAAGGCCATTGATTATACTCTTCATGCTGAAAAAATATTAGCGATGTCCTTTCCCCATCATTCCACCACCTTTAATAGAACCTCAGCGCCCCTAACATGCCCTTTTTCATGTCTGGCAGAGGCTCAGGGCTGGGGTGTTCCTGGGGAAAAAACGCAGTTGTCCCTGGTTGGTTGGAACGCAAGTGGGGGCCCCTGGTTGGCTGGGACCCGCCTATCTCCTCACTTGGCAAGGCGCTGGGAAGTCAGGCTCACTCACGGCCTACTGCCTCCCCGTGTCTAGGTGTGGGTGTCTCATCAGACCAGTCAGGTGGCTTTCCCGTCTTTGTCAGCAGTAGGGGACAATATGGGAGATCAGGGGTCGTACTGGGTTATGTGTGGGCCGGCAGTTGGAAACCACCTGAAGGAGGTGACTTCTGCTTCGTCCCGAGGGACAAACACCTAAGCCAGAACAAGGGGAAGGAACTTCCAGGAAGAAGGGATACGATTCCGAGGTATTTTTGGAGAACACTGAGCTACTTTTCAGAATAACAGGTGACTTCTATTCTCTTCTAGTCTACTCTACTGTACTCTACCCTATTCTATTCTACTCTACTCTACTCTATTCTACTCTACTGCACTCTACCCTATTCTAGTCTACTCTACTGTACTCTACCCTATTCTAGTCTACTCTACTGTACTCTACCCTATTCTAGTCTACTGTACTCTACCCTATTCTACTCTACTGTACTCTACCCTATTCTAGTCTACTCTATTCTATTCTACTCTACTGTACTCTATTCTACTCTACTGTACTCTACCCTATTCTACTCTACTGTA